ATCCGCCATTTTGTATTCTCGACATTTCGTCGGAAAGTCGAACAAGTACACGAGATTTACCAGATACACTAATGATTGGCGAACACTTGTAAGTAACTCTCAACTATTCACTTATTACGCAAAAATACTAGCGACTTTTAATGGGACAAACAGGCAAATCTGTTCAATTGTTTTAAGCATCTAAACTCAAGAACGGTAGCCAATATCTTGGATGCTCAGTCCGAGGTACAATAAAACTGTTGACACAAGTCTTACGTGTCACACCATATATGGATTTACCTCGCCGAAATGTACATGAACCATTCGTTTTTGCCTATGACACACGCTTCAGAGAGAATATTTCTAGAATATATTATGCATTACACTAGTTTGGACGGTATTTCTCTATTTCACATGTTTTATGGGGAATCTCATTTGACATCAGCCATACCGTTGGATAGAAGGCATCGAGTTGTATATGACACACTCACTTTTTTAGGTGACACACGTAAACCAAAAAATGTTTTTGAGGAGTATTGTTTTTGCGACTCTCTCCCCGTATGGAAGTATAGATTTTTGGCACGTATTTCGGCTAGGAAATAGTTTTGAACAGCAGCGGTAATACTGTCGGAGAGGTCTGGTGAAGTTCTCTGTGACACACGCGTTTTGGTGAGTGACACACGTCTGTGAGAGAATGTTTGTCACAAATATTGGTATATCAAACCAAGGTATCCTACGTATTTGATTCAAAATAATATTTGAACGTTTTCAGGATCATATGTTTGATAAGATTTTCGCTTTCCATCGTCTTATCTTCGAGATAAAACGATAATGAGAATAACACCAAATAGGTCAGTGACAGAGTTGGGTAACTTTGTCCATTAAGTAGTTCGGTTGCATCATTGAAGCGTTCTAAAATTTTTTTTAGATTATGAAGCAACGTCCACTCCTCAGCTGAGAGCTCAAGTGATCGTAATTGTGATATTTGTTTCTTTGTAAGACCATAATCCGTAGATATATTTTCATAGAATATCGGTAACGGTTTTTGACACAACAAAAATCTTTGAATCATTTTGAACGAGTTGTTCCAGCGAACACACATGTCCACTACAAGTTCGACGTCGATTTTGTTACATTTTGCCAACGAGCGAATAACACCATTCAGTATACTTGACTGATTAATTTTTCCAACGAATTTTCGACATTGTACCATCAAAGCGATAATGCGTTCTCTCGTCAAGTTTTCTTCCACTTCTTCAAACCTGTTGTTGTTTGTTTCTTCCTCTATATTGTCGTCATCATCCGACGAACACGCGATATCCATCTCTTCCTAGAAAACTCAGTAGTGAAGGGGAAGTAAAGCTGAACTTTTACTGTATATTTTATTAAGAATACAGCGTTAATGAATAGCTTACCTCTTGTTCTTCATCATCGCTACCGTCTGCCACACCTCCTTCCTCTTCTAAACCCATTTCTTGTGCTGAGTCAGGATTCACAATGATCGAATCAGCTTCGCTTGAACCACCGTCTGATTGATCGCTAACGCTAAAGGGAGACAAAAATTCAAGTATAAATAAGTATGGTTAATCCCATAGTCAACTAGGCTAAAATTTTTCCGCCTCTCACAAAATTAGGCTAGGTTATGTCCTTCTCCAAATTTTTTCAAAATGATCGAGGAAGTACCCCAAAATCCTTAGTTTCCTAGATATCCTACTTGCGACAGACATAAAATTTTTCTTATGCTTCAGATCCAACGTTTTTCGCTTGCTATCCAATAGTCCGAAAACTATCTATCCCAGGTACCCATAAAAACTTTGTATTGCGATAAATACAAATAAAAAGCACTTAAAAAGTAATTTGCTTTTTTTTCAAGCTTCTAGAAATCTTTGGAAACAAAAAACATTATTCACGGTTTTTGATATCATAATCAGGTTTCTGTACAAAATTAATTATGTCTTGAAGTTTTCTCATTGATTTTGATTTAATTACAAATTTTTTAGAATTCAGCGACAAGAGCCGAAAATACCATATATTATGTTTCCCATTTGATAGGACAAATATATTTACACTTCGAATCTTGGAGATCCAAACTAGCTTTCCAAAAATCTTTTGAAAACATGTTTAAGCGGTTTTCAAAGTCCATTTCTTACAAAAGACATGCTCGAGTATTAGAATAGCGAAAATTCCATGTCTTATCATCTTTCTATCAAACTTTGTTCAAAAACAGTGGATTGCTTTTTTTTGAAATAGATGATAGTTTCTCTAAGAGATTCTCATACCTAAGGTCTGACGAAGATATAGTAACCATCGCGGATTTCTGCTGTTGTACTGATTTCTTTTTTGGCCATAATGCCAAGGAGTTCTGTACGGTTAAATTGAGGCCATGAGCTGTACAATGCAATCTCAAGCCAAACATTTCATTTTTCTCAGTAGCCGTCTTAATATCCGAACCATTATCTGTTGTTGTGCTGACAATCTTGTCTTGGATTTCAAATTTGATTAATACTCACATCAAATGTTTCTCAATTCGTTTCGCGAACTTTCGACCGTAGAATTCTCGAAAACTCAAAATTGT